AACTGTCTGGTATTTGTTAGGTATTAATTTTGATTGTTAAATATTATAATTATTAACAAAAAACAATCATCCCAAGTATGGACAATGGAAAAAGGACGGTTATCGTTTGAAAAAAGGACGTTTGTATCAGTACAGGATGATGGCACCCTTTAAATCTAAAGATAATAAATTGTAAACTATATATTATAAATCATTATTATAATCGATAACCAGTCTTTATAGTCATATTATATTCTTACTGAAAACCATATAAAACAATACAGCGGTCAGATATCACTATAGCTATACGATTTAAACTAATACTTACCTACGTATTTAGTACTTACTCGATGTGCATTAATAATAGTTAAGGTTTATTTTACGCGTGATGGAATAAAGTATATTATGTAATAACCGGTAACGAGAATGCTACCATAGGTATTTCAAGCCGAATATTTTATTCTACGTTAATAAATTATAGAATTGTTATAATATGTTACTTACGCAGTACTTAAGAATTTGAAATACCTGCCGACAAATATTAATGCTCATTAAGCCGTTTAAACGAATTTTTTAATCCCGTTACGAGAGTTAATTCGATTTGACAAACCGAATGAAATATTTAATGCTTTTATATGCTCACGTTACTCCCGGATTAATTACCTAACTATCCCGAATTAAGTTAATGCGCATTAATGCAATGCGTGGACGGGGCAAATCGTAAATGTACGACGTATATAACTTTATCATAGTTGATACGTCACGTGTATAGGACGATTGTCATACAAATCGATTGAAACGGTTTTTGTGCCAAATATGACACAACTGTCAACTAGGTATTCGCCTAAAATTAAAAATTTTAAAAATAATTTAAATTTGTGCAAACGACGGTCATGACCTAAAGAAGAACACCTACCCTCATCCGATATACCAGTGGCGTTCGACCTATTTCGTACAATGGTACGTTTTCACTTAATGTTAAATTTTTGGCGACCTCTTACTAAAATGTCGTGATCCCCGTGCGTCTCTATCATATACTGTACACACACACACACACTTATATACGCACCCGGGTGGCATAATCATAGACTTATTAAGAAATAGACTGCGCGTTCCCTATAGTACCCACAGGTTTGACGATTTGAGCACTGAGTGAGAGAGATAGACTATAACTTACCCCGAATGTGGAAGAAATAATAAAATAGTTTATTTTTCTAAGGTTTGATAAGAATTATCTGATAAGAGTGATAAACAAACATTATAATTTGATTTGGTACTTTTCAAGTTGTAAACTTTAAATTCGAAGTCCTGCAAGCTTGTTTGAGCCATTTGAGGTGCAATTGTTTTTTTAATTATTATTTAATTACCAGAATAAAACATAAATTAAAATGGTGAACAAATGTAGCTGCATTCGAGGATGTCCTACGGACCTAATTACTAATTTTTTTTATAATCTTTCAATTATGTGTAAATGTAACTATATTTTAATAGCGACACTAGTCATAGACTTATTAAGGATTATAGTACATAGATAGTCATAATACTACATAATATTATATTATTTATCTATTTCTAATGTTTATAATGAGCAATATGGAATTGTAAATTGTAATTTATTTTAAACATTGTATATTAATTAATAATTTATACCTACTTAATGCACATTGATCTTGTTATTAAAGTTTGACTTTTATTTAATTTACAACGGACTTTTTTTGGTTTTTTTTTTTTATAATTTACTATTATAAAACTTAAAATGAAGTGATAAAAGTTGTGGAAACAATGGATAACTAACTCTTAATAGGTCTATGGGCATAATATGTATAATAGTCTAACACAGTGATTCCCAAACTTTTTGCAATGGCGATCCATAAATTTAATATTTATTGGGTACGCGACCCCCTGCTAATAAAAAAATCAAGTATGCCCTAAATGAATAATATTTTTTTAATAATTAATTTTATCTTTGAATTTTTATAAAATACAATTCTTGATACATATAATACATATTATTAAATAAATAAAAATAAATTATAAAAAAATACAAAAATACTGAAATAAGCGTAATCTTAACCGCGAGTCACCACGACCCATCGAAAACATTTTGCGACCAAATATTGGGTCGCGGCCCATGGTTTGAGGAAACGATGGTCTAACACGTCATGTGTATATGCATCGGATAGACGTGCTACGACAGACGCGATGAAAAAACGCTTTTCCTCGCCAACCGTTTCGTCTTACGCCGCTCTGCCTACACATTTTTTTTTCTCTCTCCCTGTATAATATTATTTCGTCGCCGTCCGGACGACTGTACAGCGCTATATCCCTCTCCCCACCCCCTTCTCCCGACAATTCGCTGGGAAATTACGAGAGAGGGCCCACTGCAGTCGCCCCGTCCATACCATACAATATCCAACACTATAATACGTATCCTAATTATCCCCGTCCCGTCCGTGCGGAACGTTGCCGATGAATACGAAATCGCGGGTCTGCAGCAACCGTACGTGATCGTTGGCAAAGTTCCGAGGGGTCGCCGACGATTCCGCGGGTCGGCTAGTGGGTGGCGAGTGGGTGGAAGGCCCGGGGGGGGGGGGCGAGCATAAGTGTCCGGAGGGGTCGAGAATAAATTTCTCGGCGTTCCGGTTTCGACACGACGTGGGACTCGGACTCGGGCTCCAAGTCTGCACGGCGCGGGTGGAATGGATTCACCGGATGCAGGGGTGAGTGGGGGGGGGGGCGAGTCGGCGACGTTAGAATATTATAATTTAGTTCTCCTGGCCTCGCGAACTCGACCAGACGGCAAGGAGGAGAAAAAAAACGATTAGGTATACGGCTGCAGCTATACATGGTCGGTCATCGGTCGGTATTTGTTTACCTATCCTATGGCAACGGGAGAACAATATTATTCACGTCACGGTCGATCGGCACGCGTTCCGTTTCGCAGTCGAGCGATTAACATTTTTTTCACTTTTAAACCGGTAGACTCCGACGGTTGTTCTGGCTGTAGTCATATACGCTTACAATCGCAGTATATTTTCTTCATGCATCATAATATAATACAGTGGGCTCCGCTTACAAGACTCACGTGTATAAGGTTCAGTCGCTTAATATAGACTCGTCTGGAACGGTTCGAACGTATCCAAATACATTATAAAAAATTTGGTTATAAGACTCACCACTTCGTTTATAAGACTCAAATGTTGTACAAAAAAAAATAGTAGAAAATGAAAATTGTTGGTTGAAATTTTGAAATAAATTGGTTTTTAACAATTACATATTGAGGGGAAGTAATGCTATTGAGGGGAAGTAATGCTAATTGAGGGGAAGTAATGCTAACGCGGTCCCCCCTCTGGTTCTCGATACCACGAAAAAAAAAAAAAAAAAACAATTACATATTTTCGTAGATTATTATTGGTTTCGATTCATGCTTAATAATGTGTGTAAATACAACAAATTTTATCGCATTTCACATTTTTTATCGTAATTCCTGTATAAGTTATAAATACACTCCCGAATACTCGGCACAGGTATAACAAATTTTTTTCATAAATAATAAGTACGTAAGTCGTAAATACATAATTTAAAAATTTTTTATTAATATGTATGTAATATTTCGTATCATAATATAATTTTAATTTTTAAACATATTTTTTTCGTTTAATCACTAATAAACAATAATTAATATATTGAATATGTATGTATTTAAATAGATTAAAATAAAAAAAAAAATTGTCTAAGTTATAAGACTCACTTTGTGCTGGTCCTAAAGTGAGTACCTATTATAAGAGGCGTCCACTGTATTATTAACAAACATAAATGAGGCCGGGGCCCCTCCGATTTTTTTGGGGTTTCGTACAATAGTTCAATACAATCCATTATTCATTGACCCGCTTGTAATCTACTGTACAGCAGAGCAAAATCCACTTAGCCGCTTTTTCTTTTTTATTTGTTTGGCGTGGGCCTGGTCTTTATAATAGGGAGTAAGGACCCCGTAAAGTATTCATCGATATATTTAACAGTACGCAATTATTTTTCTTTACATGGCCCAGATGCTTGCCTATTATTATTTAGCAGGGCACTATAATAGTACAGGTTTAAAGTAATAAATAGGAGGAGGTTTTTTCGGATTAATTGTGTTAGGTACCGCAAGTTAAGTTAGGTCGTCTTAAATCTCTCCTTAAAAACAACGGGCTCAGATGATGCCAACATTGCCCCCTCTCACACATCCTGCAGCGGCTCCACTGTTGGATTCATCGATCATGAATATTATGTTGCATACAAAAGTATGTATGATTTAAAATACTTTTTTTTTTGTTTGGTAGGTTTTTGTTGGTAGGGGGGGGGACACGTGTGTGTTTGTTTTGGCAGAATTTTTAATTTGGACACTCGTAGGTATCTGCCATACCCGGTGGCATTTAAACATAACAATTCTTCTGGTTTAACTAATAATAATAATCTTTCTAATATATAAAAATTTCTCGTCACGGTGTTAGTGGTCACACTACTCCTCTGTAACGGCTCGATCGATTTTCATGACTTTTGTATATTATTGGTAGGTAAAGAAGTTGAAAAATCATATTTTTTTGATGAGTTGCAATTTTTTGCGGGATCACCTAGTATTGTATAATATAGTATATTAAGATAAATGTCTACATAAATACCAAAAATCGTTTTCACTTGGAATGGTGGGAAGAACATTGACAAACGGGTCGTATTTACAGTACGATGCGCCATTATTATTATCAACAGTTAAGTCATACGAAAATATTACGACGTCTACCTACCTATATACCAGGGTGAGCAAAAGTCACGCAACCGATTCGTAAAAAATGACGCAAAATATAAAAGGTTGTTTATTATATAAACAAAAACAAATATATAGAGCTTAATTTATACTATATTTTTAATTTATACATTTTGTAAGTTCAATATGACCACCGTGTTCATCAATACACGCTAAACAACGCTTTCGGACCGTTTGTCAGATGCGTTCTAGAAGAGCTCTGTCGTCACTGACCACATCAAGTTCTTCCGTGATGACTGCTTTCAAAATTTCGATGGAACGTGGCCAAAAAAGCGAATACTCTGTCCTTCAGTATGCCCCATAAGGCAAAATCACAGGGTGTAAGGTCCGGCGACCGTGGTGGCCAGTCAACTATTCCGATCCATCCCGAAAAGTTTTCATTGAGAAACGTTCGTACTTGGACTGAGAAATGCGCAGGTGCGCCATCCTGTTGCAATGGCATTTGATGACCGGCAAACACTGGACTTTCTGCAAGTTCAATTTTAAGATTTTGCAGCATGTCTAAGTGCGTCGTACCATTTACTTTTTCGTTTTCAAAAAAATTCGGCCCAACGATCGTGTGGGCGCAAATTCCAGCCCAAATCATGATTCCCGGGACATTTAGTTCTTGTTGTAGAGCTAAATTCGGGTTCTCAAACGCCCAGTAAACGCAATTGTGTCGGTTTATACGCCCGTTTAGTTTAAAAATAGCTTCGTCGCTCCAAAGCACAGAACGAAAAAATCCTGGATCAGCTTCAGAACTTGATGTGATCAGTCGTGACGACAAAGCTCTCCTAGAACACATCTGCCAAACGGTCCAAAAGAGTTGTTTAGAGTGTATTGATGAAGACGGTGGTCATATTGAACATACAACATGTATAAATTAAGCTCTATATGTTTGTTTTTGTTTATATAATAAAGTTGTATATATTGTTGCGTCATTTTTTACAAATCGGTTGCGTGGCTTTTGCTCACCCCGGTATAATTAAATTATTAAACTGCACACATTTTGTGTATCGCCGCCGAAATCACTAGGACTAAATATTATATAAACCTTAAAAAAATATTATAACGACCAAAACGTTTTACGCAAGTACATTATATTTCTGACGTGAGTGATTCGCGGTATTTATATACTCTCAGCTGACATCGAGTAGCTGTCTGTAAAGATATTATATATAGGAACAACAGCAATGTACTCATAGATGATACGGATTACGCGTGAAATGTGTTTGGGAAATACAATGAAAACAAAAAGTGTGTATATATATTTTACGAAAAAAAATATTGTGTTCGGGTAGTGTTAGGCTTGAGAGACTTTACGAGCGGATTCGATTTACGGCGGGAAACAAGCACCCGAGACGGAGGAGTGGGCGTTATCGAAATCGCGAACAGGCGACGGCTGAATACGAAATATTGAGGCTTTAATGTAATATTATAATAAGAAAGTAAGATAGCCGAATGCATTATAAATACATATACCTACCTATATAATATAATCGTAAAATGTAGAAAACTCTCCTATACAGAAGATCATTACTGTTGTATCATGCATAATATATAAAAAATATTGTTAACTAGGTTAAGTAAACATTCATATGTAACTACAGGTAAAATACCAAAACAAATCAAATCATACAATGCTCAATAAGCCAAGTAACAACATAGAAACAATTATGCATTCCACCAAATTGGGATAAGATATCGATTATTATGTAATACAATAACAATTAGTATAATTTTAAGCATAGTCAGTAAGTATAAGTAGTGCTTCGATTGTAATATTTATATATGTTACCGCCAATGATGATAGTTAAGTATTGTTAAAAATGACTAGTCTATGTTAACACTGACTGTTTTACATAGGCATTGATATTATTGGCTAGTCATTTTAGAGAATACCTAACTTAGATAGACAATAATAGAACAAATTTAATATTAATACATAATTTCTATGATTGAGCAGTCATTGTCATTATTGACTAAAACTATGTAGCCATTGATAATTTTAGATATAATATATTATATTTACTATTTAAGAAAAAAACAATGAAAAAAAAATATAAGAAACATATATTCCTCTTTGTTTAAAAATGATATATTATCTTCAAGTTTATTTTTCAATAAATCAAATAATGCGTTGTAAAATTTTTGACGCATTTCATTTGAATTCATTTTTTTAATAAAACAATATTCAACACTTCGAAACGAAAAACTATACGAAACTATAAACTATATTATACGAAAGTACAACGTAGACTGTAACAGTACTTATGTTATAGGTTAGTTGCCGTGAGTATTAATACTATATAAAAGATACCTATTATTATTCGTTATAAAACAGATACCTAATCTTAACGTGGGTTTTTAAAGTTAAAACGATAAAAGATAACATTGACTACACGACGATAGGATATGTTATAATAACTAGCGAATCCATCAAATTATAACATCGTCTGATTTATCAAGTCAATGTTACAAATATATGTTGATTGTAGATAATGACCAAGTTACCAAGGCATTATATTAATTGGCTAGTCAATATCATCATTACCTGAATTTACGACATTGACGGTAACATATATAAGTAATATGGGAAGACAGATAGATGGTCAGTTGGCGGTGGTCGTGTGACTCGATCGCCACTGGACGTAAAAGTTTTTAATAAAAGTGCTTATATTATTATTCGTTTGTTTATTTGTGTAGGTACGTCTGTGATCGGCGTATACGACATTACCGATGTACGATAAACGTATTAATATAATATCCAACGAGTATACATATTATATTATATTATTTACTGAATATAATATCTGTCCAAGTATTGTGTTGTGCCATTTTATATTTTACCAATACGCGTCTACTTGTATGGTGAGAAGCAGAAAATTATAAATAAATAAATTCAGGTGCGGTGAAACACAAAGCTACTCGATATTTTCCACTATTCAAAGACAATTTATGAATCGCATAAATATGTATTAATACGTAACCATTAATATTGTAAATTATACGCCTAGTGAGAATTATTAGCTGGTAATTTTTACATTTTATTCCTTTCTATGTTGATAGACAAAGCGATACTCAAAATCGATCAGAAGATAAAAATATCTGTACCCGTCCCAAAAACATATTTATGTTAAAATCGTCGTAGTGCAACGTTCAATATCATCATATACCTTAACTTGCCCTTTACAAGACCCTTAAAAATTTGGGGGTTGAGATTTAAATTGCGGTGGGATGATGCGAGTACTAAACGCTTGACTATACAGGTTCAGCAAGTTTGAAACATTTTGCGTTTACCGTAAAACGCGCTGTAGACATTAAAACCATAGCGAAATCGTTTTCCAAGAGTGTTTTTCCTGACGTTTTTATTTTCGAGTGAAATTATGTAAGTGCGTAAAAGTAAGTACAAACTATACACACGGGTAATAATGTATCCACGAAACGTCGATGCACTCGAATCGCTTTAAAAATCTCTGCGGCGATGGGCGTATAGAAAACACCAAAAACAGCGAGTGTCTGGGTCCTGTTGCAGGCTGTTATGAGGGTTAGTTACTATGTGAAATTAACTTTGAAGTGTAAGTATATGAGAATAATAGCTCCTTACGATAAGATTATTGGGTATTAATTGTATTCCCTTAGTCAGATCTGTTATGTGTTACGGAGCAAACATACCACAACAACGAAAACGGTCTTTATCAAGACCAACAAACATAATTAGACAAAAAAGAACGGTTTGACAGACGAAAACCACACCGAACAAAGGTAAACAACAAGACAATGGTGTGCTTTTCATCTGTCATAACGAAGAACACGGGCCAATGAGCGATGGGCTAGATTGTCGAAGAGGGTATAAATACCGGACACTTTCGACAATCTAGCCAGTCTATTCATTACCTTCAAACCGTCAACAAGTACCTGATCAACAGAAACAAGACGAACAGAAGGACCAGACCAGACCGCAAACCGACTACGCATCCACGGCCGCAGACCGCCGCATGCCAGCAGCGCCACCGCTCCACGGTGAATAGTCGCATTACCCGACTACGCATCGACGACGCGCCGCTCCACGGCCGCAGACCGCCGCATTCCAGTTGCGCCACCGCTCCACGGTGAACAGTCTCACGGACCGACTACACGTCGACGGCACGCCGCTCCACGGCGAAGAGTCATACCGGCCGACGGCATATCGACGACGCGCCGCTCCACGGCCGCAGACCGCCGCATTCCAGTTGCGCCACCGCTCCACGGTGAACAGTCTCACGGACCGACTACACATCGACGGCACGCCGCTCCACGGCGAAGAGTCATACCGGCCGACGGCATATCGACGACGCACCGCGCTACGGCAGTATACATCAACCAATCGCCGAGCACCAACCACGTTACCGTTCCACGACGCGGACCAGCATCGATCGGCACCGCAACAACGACGATACGACACGCCGTTCCACAGACTCCGACGTCACACTATTAAACGGCCCTTTTCAGGGCCACCACTCACAATACCTCGACACTTACTCAAGTTGTTCGACCCGAGTTTGGTTCGCTGTCGGAGTACCGCTTAATCAAGCTTGTACCGACGGCGGCCAACTCCCTGGCCCGTTCAATTTTGTACATAAACAATCAATATTATTCATCACTTTGTAATATAGGATCCGGCACTTGCCCGATCATAAACCAAGCGCCCCCGATTGTGTCGACCCACTTATCAAGTCTGGTCGACACAAATCGACGCTTTACGCTATCCCTATTATAATTAAAATATATTTCACATAGCAATAGAGATCACTGATTACCAATAAATCCAGCGTTCTTTATTTCAAGACGCGGATCGCCCAACCGGGTGCTCCGTTTCAACTGGCGCCCAACTAGTGGCTCTCCGACGACACAAGAGACCCATCAAACAATAAAATGAAATCATTACCAGTTAAGAAAAAACGTCCACCGGACAAGTTAATGTTTAATTATATTAAAAGCAATTGATCTAATAAACATTGAAGACTTCGATACCGCAATAAACAAACACGCAACAATCAACTACGAACGAGTAAACGACAGTATATAAATTAACAAAGTCACCGTACCGACTAGAAACCGAGGTTGTTAGTCTCAACCAATTGAAGCTCAGCAACTTCCAACCAACCAGGAAGGAGAGTGAGCCACAAAAATAAGTATATATTACCGAACATAGCAATTTATACTCATCAAATTTATACTCATCAATTCAGAATGGCACCAATAATGGCAGTGCACGAACAAGCTAAACGAGAAGCAGCAGAAAAAAGAAGACAACTTCTACAACAGTTAAAAGAGGACAAAGAAAACTTAAATGGATTAGCATCAGTAATTATGGTCAAAATTCAAAATCCAAAAATAGACATGAAGGAGAAGGAAAAAGACAGACAAAAAACAGAACACATAACAAATAAAGACAAACATTCATACATCACTCAATGGATCACGGAAGTAAATGCCGCGAGAAAAAAACAGGATACCGATTGGAACCAACCGGTTGACTGGAGAATGGTAACAACCACAACATTACACCAATATATCCCATTCGAAAAACAAAACATCAACATCGCTCAAGCACTGGATTACGTGAAGAATCAACTGGCACAATATGAGTGCCCAATGAAAAAACACAAAACAGGAAAAGAGCCAACACTGATATGCCACATGAGCAATAATCAACTACGAACAGCTATTTACAAAGCAGCCCAGAAACGAACATGTTTGTTCCGAACGGTTGAAAATTTGTGCTAGATGATTCTCACCCCGGCACAAATCTGGGGGGGGTTC